TAATCCGAGCTATTGACTGCACCCATATAAAAATTAATAGACCCGAAGGTATAGCTCACTCTGAAGCATACAGAAATAAAAAAGGGTATTTTTCTGTAAATGTGCAAGCAATAATAGGGCCTGATATGGAAATATTTGCTATAGTGACTAGGTGGCCTGGCAGTTCTCACGACAGCAGGATATTTAGAAAATGCCTGTTTTAGTAGGTGACAGCGGTTATCCAGCACTTAACTTCATGTTAACAACACTTTTAAATCCAATGACAAGAGCTGACAATATTTATAATTATTCTCAAATAAGAACTAGGCATATTTTTTAAAGGTTTTTCGGAGTGTGATAAAGGAAATTTCCATGTTTACAGCTAGGACTACAGTCAAAATTGACAAATACTAGTTATATATAATTATAGCTTGTGTTGTATTGCATAATATAGGTATACAGAGAGGGGATGCCTATGATGATGGTGATCTTGCTGACAGCAGAAGTTGAGTAACACAGAAACAATGAAAGATCTCTTACAGGTCTAGCATTCCGGCAATCTGTGATTGCACAATTTAACTAGGTAATTTGTTTGGTAATAAAGAATATCAAAACAAAACTTGTTTCATTTTAATCATTTATTTTCTGATTCTTTTTTTAAGTGTAATACATATTTCTAATACTAATTTATATTTTTGTTGAAGAAATTCTATTTCCAACAGATTTTTTTAATTTCATATGTTCCACTCCTATCTCAAATTTTTTAGAGTAGTCAGGTAATAAATGGTAGAAGATTCAGGGAAACGAAAATAACAGATGTGAAGCGAGAGACATCGGTTAGGTTATAGTTTGAATTTCGTTGTCACTATAATATGCCAGGGCTGCCAGGTGACATACAAAATCACACCAGTTATTTTTAAGATTTCTCAAAAATGGGGTTTGAACAATTACATAAATAATATAAATAAACAATAATAAATACCATAATAATGTGTAATTATTTTAATTCATGCATTTCATAGGTATTTATCAAGATCATTTATAATTTCTTTGAATTCAAATTCTATTTTTCCCAAAGTCTATGGAACTCCGATACAAAATGGCAACACCGTTCATTAAAAACCGACAAAAATAAAAAGTCCAGTAAAAGATATGATGGTAAAGCAAATTTTGGGCCATCATTTTTGTTAGGCTTATAGTCAAAGTTTTTGGTAAGTCGTCGATTTCGTGGACTTGAGATTAAGCTAAGCCAACACTAGGGAGAGATTCGCAGTTTGCTCTATAAATACCGACTGTGTCTTAGCTCGATAGTTAAGTCAGAGCAAAGTCTAAGTGCGCACTATAGATCTCACCCTCAGACGTAGCTACTCGTCGCCCGTTGTTTGAACTTGACACGCGACGAAATATTTATATTAGGTCCTTACATATGAAATTGGCGAATTTCGTACTGGCCACTTTAATCACGATGTTCTCCTCTTTGGTAAGGAATTCGAAATTCAAATTTGTACAGCTATTTACTTATGTATTTGTGCTTCGATGACCGTCATTGATTTGTTTTTTCTTCTGTTTTTTTCTGTTTGCGTCACTCATTTTACAAAATGGAAAACTTAAAGTATCGCATTATTTACGAGTACGAGTTACGCCGTGGCACTAGTGCTGCGGAAACGACTCGAAGGGTGAATGATGTGTATGGCGGTCATGTTGCAAAAGAAAACACAGTTCGTTTTTGGTTCCAACGTTTTCGTTCTGGAAATTTCGACCTGCAAAAACATCCCCGTGGACGGCCTGAGACCCAAGTTGATAATGAAGTATTGAAGGCTATTGTGGAAGCGGATCCATCGCAAACCACGTCCGTGTTAGCTGCAGGCTGCGGTGTTAGTGATAAAACTGTCTTAATTCACTTGAAGCAAATTGGGAAGATTAAAAAGCTTGAAAGATGGGTACCTCACGAATTGACTGAAGCAAACCGGCAAACGCGCGTCGACTGCTGCGTTACATTACTGAACCGGCACAATAATGAAGGTATTTTAAACCGAATCATTACCTGTGATGAAAAATGGATTCTTTACGATAATCGGAAGCGCTCAGCGCAATGGTTGGATCCTGATTCCTGGCCAGCCAGCCAAATCCTGCCCCAAGCGAAAATTAACTCCAAAAAAGTTACTTGTAAGCGTTTGGTGGACTAGTGCCGGTATTGTTCATTGCAGTTTTCTCAAATCTGGCCAGACTATCACGGCTGATGTCTACTGTCAGCAATTGCAAACCATGATGGAAAAGCTAGCGGCTAAACAACCTAGGCTGGTCAATCGCTCCACGCCACTGCTACTTCACGACAACACTAGACCACACACTGCACAACAGATGGCTACCAAATTAGAAGAGCTTCAATTGGAATGTCCAAGATATCCTCCGTACTTCCCGGACCTTGCTCCAACAGATTACCATTTTTGTCGAAATTTGGACAACTTCTTGCAAAGGAAAAATTTAAATCTGATGGGGCAGTCCAAATCGCCTTTACAGATTTTATTGATTCCCGTCCGACTGGTTTTTTTAGTAAAGGGATCAATGAACTACCTATGAGATGGCAAAAGTGCATAGAAAACAATGGTTCATACTTTGATTAATTAAATATATTATATTTAAAAATATTCGACTTTTTGTTCCTCCCATACAAAACGCCAATTTCATATGTAAGGACCTAATATATATATTATCTACTTGATTTCGCTGGTCGTGTCCACATGTTATAGGGACGGCACCGCTTTTGATATTTATGTATGTATGTCAATTTATATCATGTGTTTGTCCTAATTTTGTGGTCCAATAAAAAAAAATATATGATTAAAGAGCATGGATAATTTATTAATATAAAGAAATTAATAAATGATAATATGAATAATAAATAATAACAATCCATAAAATCACCATTCAACGACTTTGCAAAAATACAGATTCAAAATAAAATGCCAGTTTGACAATATTTTATTACCGTTGACACATCGTAAGAATATAATCAAAGAGCGAGTGGAGAAAGATTTGTGGTCTGTGGAAGTACATACAATATAATTTCAAGCTTTTTCTAATATTATTGTTTAGTAATTAAATTCGTACTTATGTAGCACAAAACTGTCTAATATACTCTGATTTTCAAAAGGCGTTTGATAAAGTTTATCATCACCTTCTATTAATAAAGATCAGACATTATGGAATACACGGCAACTAGCTCCGATGGATAAGCTCTTATATAAATAATCGCGCCCAAATGATTGCCGTTATTTATCGGCAGCACGTAATACATAATAATAATATCCATACGAAATTGCTTGCTAAAATCTCTATTCATTGCAGTACACGGTAGACTAGATAGAAATCCATCCATTTTACATGCCGGTTTCACGTTTGTGCACAATGTTTAATGGTCCTTAACAATATATATAAAAAACTGTGATAAAATGACTCGTTGGACATTTTCTGCAACTTCATGGACACCGTGCGCCGAGTCGTTATAGCAACCTTGCATTCTTAATTATTTCCTATTATTTTCCTTTGCATCGTTATATACCTACCTAATTGCTGTTTATAAATTTATATTGTTTTATACGCCGTCGGCGTTTGGCGGACCCATGTGACTTCCTCGATACAAAACGTCCCCTCGGGATTTGTGTGCCGCGATATTGCGGTCTCAATTGAGAGGAAGTTCTGAAATATTTTAAACTTCTGCAACACAGACCTTCATAACTCACAATTTCATTCATTCTTAGAGCTTAGAGCTATGATTGAACATTATGAAAGTAATCTTTACTTTGTCTCTGGTTTAAAACTACGCAATATTTACCTTTTATTCAATCAGAATAAAAGGTAACAATATTGCTAAATCTGAATTGCCGTGTAAACAATTATTGAATTATCCATGCGTTTATTGAAGAACATGTTTAAATATTCAAGATTAGACTCGTGATTGAACTTTAGAATTCAATTCCAAATTCTCAATGTATTTACCAACTCAACTCTACGTAATCCACTTCAAGTTTGTCACATCGATTTTCGGTTTATCTAAGAGACAAACGTAGGCAGAATTGCATTGTAGGGAATAAGGTACGGTGCTTTCATATATATATATTATTTGATTAACAATCATAGAGTTTCGAGTTCTAATCTTGAGGTAGAGAAAAGCGACGTTTTGGCGAAAAAAATAATAGTTTTTTTTTTATAGAACAGGGGGCAAACGGGCAGCAGGCTCACCTGATGTTAAGTGATACCGCCGCCCATGGACACTCTCAATGCCAGAGGGCTCGCGAGTGCGTTGCCGGCCTTTTAAGAATTGGTATGCTCTTTTCTTGAAGGACCCTAAGTTGAATTGGTTCGGAAATACTTCAGTGGGCAGCTGGTTGCACGCGGTGCGCGGCAAAAATTGGCTTGAAAAACGCTCAGTTGTGGAACGGCAAAAGTAGTGGCCAAAGTTTGGAAGTTGCTGTTAGTAAGTAACGTAGATGTCATTCAGTCGGCTTTGTCTTATATTACCAAACAATTAATAATTGATTCGCAATTACTATCTATTATTATTATTATTATTATTATTACTATCTGTCCGGTACTCTAACAGAGGCTGGGTAATATCTCATATTCGTTAACCAATAAGTGGATCCATTACGGAAGGTTATTGTTTAGCATTAAGTCCTTTCCGATAAGAAAAATGATCACAGTGCTCGATCTGTATTATATTCTGTGAATATTAAAGATCCTTATTATAGTTTGATAACTACAGCCTTGCGATTCTGTAACTCACTTTTCGAACTCTCACAGCGGTTTCCGCAGCGGCGGTCGCGCTCTCATCAGTCCTGAAGCAGTCATTTTACGATTTGGCATTCTGATAAACAATAAACTACAAGTTCCCTCCTTATGTTATCCGTGAGTTACAGAATCGCAAGGTAGACCTTAAAACACCACTAATAAAAGCTTAAATTAATGGTGTTTCAAATTACGTATAGAATAAAATACACAACAAGATTCAGCTGTTTATTTTAACAATGGTCATCCATAAAATAACGCCAATGCACATCACCTAAAAGGAATAAACCATTTTATGTAAAAGTATTTTATGAAACTTATGTATAGCGACTAAAATTTGGTACACTTTGTCTAATCTCATAAATTGGATATCTTTTTGTGAACTGAAAATACATAAAAAGCATATCAGCGGCATTATAATGTTATATTACGATTTTTTATTTTCTCGTGTTTAGTTTTAATTTAATATTTTCTAGTATCTTTGTTCTGCTATTTCAGTTTGTAATTATGCCACATTTTAATTTATCTTGAATGTATAATATGAGGAAACTTACCGTCTTTAATCTTGCAATTCTCATACTCCATTAGGCACAAAGAATGAAACTTTTTCTTTTTTTGATGGTCATTCATTGCGCAGATTTCTCGCTTCCTAAAGTTCATAAAATATTCTTAGTAAGATGGAAAGATATTTATGTCGACAAGCGTTGTGAGAGTCACATTTATTTATTATCGAGGCTTACCGGTAAGTATGACTCCGGTACGTCAATACTTTCTGTCAATACGAGAGTCAAACTTGATGCTTAGTGTCTGATTCTAAGGGTAGTATTAAGTATTAGGATATATCATAATAAACAGCAGAATGTAAATTAAAAAATAATCTGTTTAATACTCTACAAAAAGTGGTTTATTTGTTAAATACATACAAATACAATTTATGTCTGAAAATTAAGTTGAGTATAACGTTTTGATATCAAAGCGATGTTTACTCGACTGTATTAATTATTTTCTACATCACAAACAGTTATATTACTGTAATAGTTTTTAACCGACTTCAAACAAAACTTAAGGTTCACAATAGACTTCGCTTGGCCCGGGGTCGGTCTAAAACAAGTAATAGTAGAAAAGTACTATTACGACTGTTTGAATATTTTCTCATTTTTGACAAAAAATAGTGGTAATAATATATTTTTGTTTCACCAAGGTCCGCGAAAAGAGTGGCAATAAATTATTACGTTCTAGACATTTTTCAAATTTACCGTCCGAAATGTGCGGTTACGGATGGTAATGATGTTTAAACACTGAAATAATCGGAAAGCGTTTTTACTCTTCAGTCTAATTAGTAAACTACTCTGATGTACATATAATTATTTATTAACTTTTTACACTGAATACAATAACAACAATGGTTAAATCGTCGAATAGGAAAAAAATTGCTTTCATTTGATATATATCTATATATGTCATGTACTCAGTATCCTAGTAATAGTAGCATTAATATCTTTAATGTTCCCTGAAACAACTAGACTTTGCTATTACGACTTTGTTACCCTGGGCAAGTGACAATTAAAAATAACAATTCAAGAGATATAAATAAAATATGAAACTTCTCCCAATATTTCCCTACCTGTCAGCCTTTACACACTCCACATAATCTTCCATACATTCTTCAATATCTTCTTCCAGTTCTGTCTTATTGATTTTAGCTTCAGGACCAAAATCGAACTCTGGGGGCATAGGCCGTGGAGTCATATCTCCTAGGTCGTCATATTCTTGACATAGGGTTATCGGGATTAAAACTCCAATAATAATTATAAATTTGCCGTCTGGACAAGCATTCATAATTGAATTATAGTTGACTGTTCCCTCGTCTAAAGTAATGAGCAATAAAAAGTAATTAATTGGAAATTAGTGCGTAGTTTATTTTCTAGTAATTATCCTAAAGTGCAGGATTAATACCGAACTGAAAATTTATAGCTTTACTTCAGAAATAGAGGTAACTTACTACATTATATACTGACACCAGGCTCCACACTGTCTTCTAATAGTGACAGTATCACCGATTCCATCGTTTTTATATGCAGGTTTAACGCACATAGTTCTCTCAATATCAGTAGTGCTAAAACAACCTTGGAATGTCATTACTGAGATCGGTTTCGCTATTGGAAGTTGCAGAGTAAGGGCTCAGAGTATGAATAATTTTGAGTCTTACTAAGATGAACGAAAAATCATCTTTCGGTAATATGCTTTACCGTGCCTTGATAAGAAAATCTGGTACCAAATATGTATCTTCTTCCTGTGAGCCTCCTGCCAGTTTGACCCTGTTATATAAAAAAAAATCGAAAAATTTAACGTTTAGATGGTCCAACCAACAAAGCCATTTCATATTTCTAGTTCAGGATAACGTTTCAAGTAATTTGAAGTAAGTTGATCCTTTTATATATATAATTAAACTTTACTTCAATTTATGCGTCAAGAATGTCGCTGAAAAGGGGCTTTACTAGGATGTAAATGAATGTTGTTAAGTTTAATGTAATCTATTATGTCCCTCGCTGAGTTTAAATACTGTATTAAAGCTTATTATTCTACAAGTATGTTCATCATGCTAGTAAGATAAGCTTTAGAGGGTTTCCGTTTTGAAGCTTAAGCTTAAAATCTTACGTTCCGAGGCTCGCTTTGTATTACATATAACATATTTGTTTCGTTTTTAACAGCTTTATATTAATATAGCTAACCTTTAGAACAGTAAAATGCTTCACTGATTCAGTTTAGTAATTTTCACACACAAAAGTAGGTGCGTATCTCTTTTATACAAATTTCATTTTAAAAGTCAGCATTAATCAGAGACTATTTTTACTACAAAGACATAAAAAGTAATTTTGATATGCCGAATATAAAAGCGAACTTATTAACATGACACGAACATGAATATTTGTGGTCATACTGAGAGTGCCTGAGACATTATTGTTAGCAAAATAGAACAATAAATGTTTAGTTGAATTAAATGAATTATTTTTAACCATTAACTATAGGTTGGTTACCTGTTCTCTCGTTAGTGTAATATTTGTTGAGTCCAAAATGTTGATTGACTAACCTTTTTAAAAAGAGAAACTGTTCGCCGATATATTTGTTTTCCCGCGATTATAATTCAGTACCAAAGTTAATGGAACTCCAGGCATAAAACAAATCAGATTTGATTTCTGCCAATGCGTTTAAAATTGCACTTAATTTTAATCTCATGTTTTTGCAGTATACTGACTGACCACTGACATCTGTTTATTTTAACATGACTTTTCTCAAAACGTGTTACAACTTTTCTGTTATTTAGTTAGCAACTCACTGCGGTTTTTCATTGTCATAAAAATGTCGAACTTTATCTCGTTTCAGAGTTGTCATACAAGCTTTTTAACTATTATGCGGGTTTTGAAATAAAAGCAAATTATAAGTTTGGATAAAGTTTAATGTTCTTTAATTTATATTTATCTAGAAAGTAATGAGACTAGTAGCAATTTACGTTTTGGGCTCAAAAAAACGTGAATTGCTTAACAAGACAGTAATATTTACAGAACTATATACATTAGCAATTACAAACGATTTAATTGTATTATACTTAGACTTATAGTACACTATACAAACAAAAGCTATAATCAAAGTTCAGACATTTATTTCCATCCCTTTTATGTTGTAGATAAAAACTTAACTGACTTTCCTAAGTTTGATAAACGTTTTAGATTTAATAAAAGTCACTTTAAATTGACTAAGTTCATATGCTTTGCATTTCAATACTTTCATGCTATTTAAAACATGACTTTAGTCAGAAAATTTGAGAGCACTGAGATGTTTTTGTATTTGCCGTAACTGTATGTTCAATCTGCGCCAATGCTGTCAGTTCTGTATCCATTTTCTTATTCTTTGCTCTTAGCTTCTCTGTAGTCTGTCCTTTTTTTCGCCCACAACAGAGAATCTCTTCAAATTCTTTCCTGAAATTATCGTTCAACCAACCATAGAGTAATGGGTTAGATACTGCACTGGACATTCCGAACATATGGCAGACAGCATAAGTTATTGTTAAGGTTTTCTCGTCTAGAATGGCGTCTTGACTAAAATCCGCTACGAGGTTAAAAACATTCAAAGGCAACCAACTTATAACGTAAGTCACGGCAATCGCTATGAGTATCGCTGGTGTTTTTCTGGTCGTTCTTCGTCTTCCACGGAGTCGTCTGTGTATTTGAACATGTGCAACAACAACCACAAGAACAGGTAATACGTATTGGAAGATGAGACTAAAGAAAGAGTAGATTGCTCTTCCATTAGCGATTGGCCAGTCTTCTATGCAGAAGCTGAGGATGTCCATACCAATGAAGCCAACTTTATGCGTCTTTAGACTTCTGAAGATGTACAGGGGCGAGGCAAGTGCGAAAGCTGTCACCCAGATGATGAACATGGTTATGAGAGCACCCATAGTTTGTAGTCCTTGTCGCGTTGGATATACAATGAGCTGTAAAAAAACATAATATTATTGCAATATAATCACTTATGAGACTTAGAGAGCCAGTCCTATCCCAAAATTGTAATAAGGGTTTGCTTAAGATTATTTTGATCATATATTAATAATGTTATACCGGTAATCGGAGATGGTTGTAGTTTTTCACAAAATTATTAAAACATTACTTCCACGGTCGGTTGACATTTGTTCAGTACCGTCATTGTTATCAGAGGGTTATATTGCACTTGTAGTGTTTTACAGCTACTGCGTTATCGGTTTATTGAGTGGTCTTATCAATAGAGAGTTTGGTTCATTACACGAACAAAGCATTAGCGATAAAAGATATCCTTACAGAATAAATAGTCGGTGACGAAGTACCGCGAAATAATTGATACTAAACTTGAGTAAAAGAAGTCAAACTAATTAATTATTCGGTAAATTTTTAAATTAATGTAATTTTTTATTGGCGGTGTTGTCTTTAAGGTAATCCCTAAGGTCGTAGGTTCGAGCTGGCTGTGCACCAATGGACTTTCTACATACGGTGAAGGAAACCGGCATGCCTTTTTTGGAAAATTCCAAAAAGTCGACGGCCTAATAGAAAAAACAAATGAATAAAACTGACAGAAATCTGAGGCCTTAAAAGCCTTGGAGCACTACTACTTTTTATATTATATGGAAATACAATGCTGGAGAGTAAAAAATATTGCTATATTATTGCTATAGCCAGAGATTATAGGTTCATGGTGTAGCTAAGTCCCAATAACCTAAAAATATTTTTTATTTTTATGGAATAGCAACGAATCTTGTTACTACAGTCTGTAGATGTAGATGTTCTCAATAATTAATATTAATTTAACAGCCATTACACTACGGACCTTATGAGTTTAAATTAATTTAATTTCGTTATATAATGAGGTCATAAGTATTCTATAAAATGGGATAAGTAATCTTTCAAAGTAATAAGATTTGATCTAACCGTTAAATAAACGTTTAGTTTATGCAAAGTAGGATTGAACGTTTAACTTTATTGAATAAATCGTAAATTCTACTTTCGCCCACTGTTTCTTCTTAATGAAATTGTTTGAAACATGAAATTCTAAATAGAAAACGGCCTTTCGATTGTAAAATGCTTTGTCTGTAGCTATGCAGACCTCGCAGAGTATATATATATATATATATATCTATTTAAGAAATATTCGATAATTTGTATGTAATTTGACATTAATTAGTTTTGGAGGTTTAAGTTTTGTATTCATTATTCTTTTTTATGTTTGTATTTTTCACGTCAGGATTATTTAGAAGAAACTGATTTTAGCAGTAAGACCACCCACTCACATCCTTTGTCTTCTTTTATTTGATTCTTTTCTCATGTTTTTTGTTATTGTGATGTAAATAAAGCATCTACTAATGTAATAACATCCTAAACCTCTGTGTCTGTAATCTTGAATATTTCCTATTTTTCTTTTTCGCTTACAAAAAGACTAAAATTTTAACTGATGCCGAATTAAAACAAGTCATAATTATGTATTTGCCGTAATTGTATATTCTATCAGCGCCAATGCTGTCAGTTCTGTATACATTTTCTTATTCTTTGCTCTTAGCTTCTCTGTAGTCTGTCCTTTTTTTCGCCCACAACAGAGAATCTCTTCAAATTCAATACACTAAGTACTAATATTTAAAAGCCTAGTCTAAATATAGTACTATCGTTAAACTAACCTATTGAGATCAATAGATCAAGTAGTTTATTTGAGTAAACAGTTTACAGGATTAAACCTGCTGACGTCATCCCTATGTAAATGAAAAGGGATCTGGGTACAATAAAATTGTTTAGGAAATTGTGAATCATGTGTATTTTCGACTAAAGCTTTTCTTCGAACCGAGGTTATCATCATAACCCACATATTATTCGAAGCAATCATAAAAAAACACGTTGGCAATTGTTACTATTGGCTTAGGATAATTTTATATTTTTTCGTCACCAGTAAAAAAATTCATTTTGTTAAATATTATTCAAAAACTTTGATTAATTCTGTAGTACTTAATAGCTCGTTTTCAAAATATGTAGTTGGTTTTATAGTATAGAATATTAATTAAACAAATTAAACGAGGATAGATCTAAAATAACGAATAAATGATTGCGTTTAGAAAGTTATTGAGGAAATAATATTATGAATCAAAAAGCCATGAGTCGTTTGCTGAAGGGCCTCTTATCACAATGACAAAATAATTTTTTTTAATGAAATTTTCATACAATGTTTAATTTGAGGTTTAAATTATAAAAAATAACAACAATATTTTATTAGATTTTTAAAATTCAGGCCATCATTAAAACAACAAGTAGTAGCAATTAATGTTGAGATGAGGGTGCGAATACACAGCGTTCTTCGTTTTATATAAACATCGGTCGAAAAAATATTTTGATGAATATTTAAAAAGTGGAGCATATTTTGTTCTGTTGAAGCTAAACCGCGACTTATATATATCAAGAATCTATATATCTGTACCCAGCAAAATGTAAACTCAATATTTAATTTAAATAAAAAATTATCTGTGTTGAAACGATCCTTCATCCAGATTAGCTCTGTACTTTCAAATATTGGATACACAAGCAATTACATTATAAGTCATGACATAGACACGATTCTTTGTGAATAAAAAATATCTCCTCCATAAATTATTTACAAAACTTCGATAGTCGCAACCACATAAGCATACTTTTCAATTCTATAACGCATTTATAACATACGTCTGTAATCACAAAGTGTTTTCCAGTGAAATTTCTTTATTAATTTGAGTATATTCGGTCGTACACAAATTAATTTAGCCACTGTTGACACTAGATGAGAATGTTACTAAAAAAACATCCGTGGCACTACAACCTCTATAGGTTCGCCTTGGCCTCAGATTTCTGAATCTGTTTCACGATCATTTTTAAATCTAATAGGCAAGTAGGTGATCAGCCTTCAGTGCCTGACGCACGCCGTCGAATTTTTGGGTCTAAGACATGTCGGTTTCATCACGATGTTTTCCTTCACAGTGCGAGCAAATGTTAAATGCGCACATAGAAAGAAAGTCCATTGGTGCACAGCCGGGGATCGAACCTACGACTTCAGGTATGAGAGTCGCACGCTGAAGCCACTAGGCCAACACTGCTCTAGACTAACTCTAGAGAACGTTACTACTAAGGCCCACTAATATGGCCCTGTATTTAAATAATATCATAGCCTCCAATCGGCTATATCGTTTAAGTTATTGAAACCAATTGATGAAGGCAATGGATTCTATCTATAGATCTCTCTTCGCTTTGAAATTTTGGTATTAATTCATTACCGTATATATGACAAAGGAAACATGTCTATGATACAAAAACAAGACTTTTTAAGTTAAGACTGTTTAATGTTTTAAAAAGAGATTACAAATCGAATGATAACGTGCAACTAAGGGGGCGTTCAAGTATCACATAACGAATTTTTGTCCTTTTGTAGAACGTTACGATGCGGGGCGGGGATTGAATTACGCGTTATTGTTAATATTATACTTACAGCACATAATAGTAACTAAGTGGTCAATAGGTGGTCACGAAACGTTTTACTAGACTTAGGTACTGAAAAACGTTACGGCGAGTTCATGGGGGGGGTCAATAATCTCCAAAAATTGCGTTACGTAATACTTGAACGCTCCCTAACATACAAAAAAATCAAGAATTAGTCAGCTACTAAATTAGACTCAGACATCATTATTTTAAAAATAGAACTGCCTCACCTGATACCTGTCCAAAGCAATTGCCGTGATCGATATTGTCGATACAAATATTGATATTGCTTGAATCGCGCCGCACGCTTTGCATAGTCCCGGCCAGTCTGGTAAGGGCCAATGCTTAGTCAGCAGCTCCATAAGAGTAAGTGGAGTACCGACACAGCATACCAGGGTGTCAGATACGGCTAGGTTTACTATGAACATGTTGCGAGCGGTACGCATCGCCGGTTTCCTGACCACCTTGGAAAAAACACAAATATACATACACGTTTTTATATGTACAAATTACTTAAGTTTTTATTGCACTTAAAACAGTATTCAAGATAAACATTATTAAAAAATCATGCATCATGAACATACTCGTCAACTTAACTGAGATTTTTAAAAACAACTGCTTGCTTAGTTCACAAGCAATTTGAATGATTGAGGCAACCATAACTTAATAATTGACTTGCATTAGTGCTACCTAACAAAGAAACTTGTAAAGTAATCTAACGATGAAACTTCCATGGCGCTGTCTCAATCTTAACATTTGGAAATAGATGCTATTGAATTTTAGTAAATTAGCACGTCTAATTTTTTGACCTATTGTTAAGTTAAACATACTCTTTGATTAAATGATTCTTTCCTACGATATTATAGATATCTGTTTTTGTTAAGTACATAGTTTCCACGTTATTTATTGGATACTAAAAACTATATCGTTGTAGGAATAAAAAAAAACAACAGCTAAGTTATCAAGTGTTTTAAATCAGCCTTCTGGGCCTTAATCTTGTAACAGCAAAATAAATCAAAGTCGTACGATCTTATATAACACGCCACTGTGTAATATTTCTTCACACTATCGCTATTTTAGACGGAAGTACTTAAAAATAATCTAATACGTTTGTAACCTATCGTCTGATATTTTTATAAGTTGCTCGAGATTCCGCAAAGAATTTGGACATTTTATTTCACTTTTTTGCAATATAAATAATCAGTTTCTAACTGAAGCAAACATTATAATTACCTAACTTAATACTTTAAATTAAATTCCAATTTTGAATAAGCCCTGCTATGAATTTTGCTATGCAATTATTAACAGGCGATAAATCTAGCATGAAGCCACGTATTTCCTGTCATCAGATCCTTTCCTCTGTAGCTTCCAATAGCGATACCGATCACAGTATATAATGTTAAGTAAGTTTTAGTTGCGACATTAGCGCTACATATATTAAGATAACAACGTCGAGCTTGTATACTAAAACGTCGCAATTGGTAAATTTCCATGAGCCATGATATGTGCTTGTAAACGAATGGATTTGTTTAGAAGCTTTGCACATTAGACTTAGAAAAACAGACGATAACGTCAAGAGGAGTATTTTATTATTTTAAATGTACAGATTCTAATCTGATTTATCACGTAGACGTCATCGAAACAAAGGATAAGATAAAGTAGGAACACATACATTTATCAGATTTTGTATTTCCCAGATTAAAATCAGCGATTGCGCAAATCAAAGATAACGTTAAGAACGCTTTTCAGTTAAAGGAAGAAACTAGATAAAGGCTAAAGTTATATTTATAACTAGTTGATTTGTTTCTTATTAGGTATATGGTAAACACCAAATTTTAATTGGTTCTTCCAAGGCTGAGTAAACGAAATACCATTATTTAATAATGCCAATTTTAATTTGTGAATTATTCGCATTTCTATTAGTTATTAATATAAATTGTATGGTTTGTAAAGGTCGTTTTAAAAAACCGTTAAATTCTTCAAAAAATCTACCAGTCTTTTTGACATAGAATCAAAAATGTATGATTTCTCATTCGACGAAAATACCTTTAGTTAATATACTGCTATATACAACCTGCTTTTTTATATGTATGTTTTTGTAAAAGGTAAATAAATACTCACAGATAGAACAACCAGTGCATTTCCAACAGCTCCAATAACTACCAGGATACCATAAAATGTAAGAAGTAAAGATCTTGTCGGGTCATCGACCTTTCTGTTCTGTGAAAATTTGTCTAGAAGAGTGTTAGGATCCTCAACGCCCAGCGATGCCTGGATTAACCATTTTGCTGATGCATTTAGGGTAAAATTCATGCTGTTATCCACGGCCTGAAACAAAGGAATATAGATTACATATGTGCACTAATGAAGATTTATGTGATAAGATGTTATGTAGTACTTTTATTCTTGTTTAGTTACCAAAAAATTATCTTATTGGTATTGCCTCTGCATACGCAAAACTCATAATTTAGCTAGTTTTTAGGCTTAGTAACGCATTATATATACGCATATGTGAGCGGCCCGTTAACATTACCTCCGTAAATTTATTTAAATTAAAAATAGAACTATGTGTAAAAGAGGTTAAAACACGGGACTTGACATTTTACAACGTTTCACGTAATAAGTTGAACAATAGTGTTTAAACTGATCGTTAGTCTGATCGACAATTTGTTATCCGCCATACCGCGATGGACTTTCTCGTTTGGTTGTGGTTAAACATCAGAGTAATTGTTGCAAAAAACTGACATAAAATAGTAAGTGCTTTTAAAATTCTTGTGCTTCAAGTACTTTAAAATAAAACCTAACCTGTTTGGACAAATCGTAATTGTATTTTCGATTTATTCGCAAGTCAAGTAATGATTGTTAGCACTTGTAACAAGTTGTTAGGAACACCACACCTGTCTGGATCAAACCTGGCGCCTAACCTTTTTATTTTATTTTTATTTTATAATATTCCAAGTGGATTGTAATGCCTAAAAATGCCTCTCGAATAAATATCTTGTCCACGGTGTGCATTTCTTCTGCGCTGACTTCTGAAGCTGATTTTAAAAAAATTCACGATGAATAGGAAAAGTGGAGGCTCGGCGTCAAGGCAAAAATGCTCCTACTTCTCGTGCGCCGCAGTTCTCTCATTAAACGTCGATACTGAAATGCTGACAAATTATGGAACTCCGCAACTGAGCCGGCGACCTCAACCTCTTTTCAATGACCGAAATTAGGGATGACAAATCCCTTGAAGCTCTATGAGTACCTGGAGGGCACTGTCGCAGTGGAATCAAACGGCTAACAATGACTTTGCCAAACTTTCGCCTTTCTAATGAAATCGATCGAGGTCGGCGCAAAAGGGAGAAACTTTGCAGGTTACCTACATCGCAAGCAGGGAGGACCGTTAAAGGATGAAATAAGATAATACAACTGATTTCCACCATAACCCAGTCTACAAAACCCTTAAGGTCTTTCGTAGGAAAATTTAATCCAGGCAAAAACGTACAAAGTTTACGAAACAACCGGCTAACCGACATCTCAGCCATTAAAATTACAACACCTCACAAAAATATTTGCAAAATTTAAAAAATGAAGTCACGTCAGGCCGGAGCCTCCTCGACCCCTTTCCAATCCTACACAACCTCCGGTTTGCAACCACCTCCCCCCCGCTTTCGTTTTTTACCTTAATGCTAGGGTTCCGGCAAAGGCAAATTAATGACTCAAATGCATTTTAAAACAATTCTAAAACTTTCTCTACTCATCAGAAACTTCACTATGAACCAGGCCCAAGAGATGAGTCTACCAAACTTACTCATTATTTCAATTATCGGATTAGAGGTGGTGAGTCTCAACTTATGTCCATAACAGTATTAGACATAGTGTCGGAGCAACATAAAGATGGCAAACTACCTACGGGTCAAATTAGACAGATATGCCACCGAAATTGGACTTTGTTAATCCTGAATACAAACTTCTCAAAGTTTTTGGAAGAACTTCGCTTGCAACAAGAGAAAGAAAAGGGCTTAGCTTGGGGATTTTAATACTCTAGTGAAAAAAGAAAAAAACTAACAGTTGGAGCGTTAACTCTAAATAAAATAGGAAAAAATATTGTACACAACGTAAACATAACGACACGGTGCTCAAATTTAAGAATGACCGTTTCTTGGCTTATTGAGCAGGATGTCCGACCAAGGCCTTCGGTTAAAAAAACCACCCCGCAGTAATTACTCTATATGAAGCCTACTGCTAAATTTACAACGACCTAATTGTGTAACTTGATTATTCTTTACTAGAATACGATTAAGGACTGTGTAAGGAATGCAAACAATAAAGAAAAAATACTTACACCTCAAAAATTGGAAATGGAAACATTAGTGCAATTCACTTTAGAAACCATTATGGGCTGACTGAAAAATCCTACAAATTATGTTCAACACAATTCTCTACAAGAATACGGTCAAAAGGAAAATAAGGAACTATTTCTTCTCACGAATTTATTAAACACGCTAAAAACCTAAAAAAATGTGAGTCTAATAAATAAATTGGCTAGTAACAAGCTAAATAAAATTGCACACCTTCCAAACTTATTATAACACTAAAAGTTAACTCAAAACCGATATTTGTGCTGCTTTTAATACATACTTTTCTACCATAGGGCTAAACCATGAACACACAATTTCACATTATTTTCCTCCTTCCTCAAAGTCTTAACTCTGAACTTCTAACTTTATCCACAACCTGAAATCACTATAATAAAAAACTAAAGATTGTGTAGTGGATAGATGGGATCAATACTAAAACAATAAATGGTATTGATCTATTTCTGAATATCTCCGTCTGCTTAATAAGCTGCTGCTAATGGTGATTTCGATTCTCTTAAAAAGGCCAAGTTGCTCCTTCCATAATCTGGCCCCAAAACCGACCGGCTCAGACCATTCTTTCTACCTCTTCAAAAATATTAGAAAAGATTATTTACTCCGCTTACCTTCTTGCAAACTAACATTTCATTTTTAAACGCCAATATGGTTTTAGATCAAAAAGCACACTTTATCAGCCACACCGATCTCGTTAGCGACATAAAACAAAAATATTGACTCTAAGAAAATGGTGCTGGGTGTCTTTATTGATCTGAAAAAAGCGTTTGACACGTAAGCCACAACTTATTGCTTAAAAATTAGAATGCATAGGAATAAAAATCGTCACTAAAATTATTCAAATCATATCTTCAAACAGAACCCAGATAGTAAAAATAGGTAATGCTCAAAGTTCAGAAATACCAACGCGGCGCCCACAAGGACTATATTAGGTCCATTGTTATTTTTAATATATATTAACAACATTCACGAACTCGGTTACACGGCCGAACACTCCCGCTGATGACACCTGCTTATTTTACTTTGGTTCAAATATCCAGACTATGGTTGCTCAAGCTCAATCAGACCTAAATGTTCTATCTTCTTGGTTTCAACAAAATCTACTAACAATTAATATTTCAAAAACATCTTATGTAATATTCAAGGCAACAAATAAACTCATTCCTATCTTTCAACCGCTTAAAGTTCAAGACGTTGAAATCAATAACAAAAAATGGGAGAAATATCTGGGTCTTAGAATGGATACAAATTTAAAATGGAACTTTCATATTCACACATAATTACCAAACTAAAATCACTTATAGCAGATTTTGGTCAATATCTAAATGCATTCCGCAATCTGTACGTCATTTGATCTATAATTGTTTAGTCAAGCCACATTTCATATACCTAATTGAAATATGGGGTACAGCATGCAAAAACAAAATTTCTACAATACAAACACTACAAAATAAATTAATAAAAGCACTATTCAGATACAATTTTTTAACACCTACTAATAAAATCTACCAAGAAACTAAAATTATGACGATTAAACAACTATATGTTTATAGCACCTGTATCCTTATTAAAAAAAAATTAAATAACTCTCTACATAGTAACTTATCATTTAATAAAATCAAATACACCACTACACGCAATACTCGTCGAGCGAGTTTGCTTATCTTGCCAAAGCGCGCACAAATTATTTAAAGAGATCTATTAGGTATGAGGTTGCAATTGTTTAATCGGTTGCCGTCTAAGCTTCGTAACATTAGCGTGATTGATCAGTTCAAAAGGGCATTAAAGACACACATCAGAATGGGCCCATTAGACTAGAATTGGGCTAGCTGATGGCGACGTGTATCTCGTTCGTATATATACTTAATATTAAATTTCTCATGTTAATAAAAAAAATAATTTTTGTAATGAGAAATAAAGTTCTTTAAACATTTATATAGTTGAAATTTTCAAAGTCACAGTTCATTGATGTTCCTTGAGGTCTTAGATTAAAATGTGGTAAAAAATTATTTGACAAAATGATCAACAAATAAATGTCGCTTAGCGGCGGAGCGGAGTCGAGAGAAGTTCCCGGACTTCACATACATTACTTTGTTGAATCAATCAAAACATTTATTTTATAAAAATAGAACAGAAAATAAAAAACAGTAAAGATTCAATCGTGCCCAAAATATTTACGTTTCCATCTCCGTTTTGCGTAAAACCTCGAACTGTAGACGTTTTTACGTTTATACTCGATGTTTACGAGTACTCGAATTGACATTTTTAAAGCCAGAATCTAAATTCGTTCTTTAGCTGTCCAGCTTTCATTTAAAATCACTATATCGCCCTCGATTCTACGTAATAATGATCTGTATTTTTTGTATATACGAGTACAATAAGCGATGCGTGTAGATTCTACGTATTTAACGCAGATAATGTTAAAGATTATATTTATAAGTATGCAAAGGCTTTACTTTATATGTGGTATGTGACGTTGACATTTCCTAGATAATAGGTTCTTAATTCAAAAATTTTCCCGAAAGTGAGACATGGCCTTTAACGCAAAAATGATAGAAAAGAATAATATATGAATAATTTTTCGTATTAATACAAAACTTATTAAAAATAGCCTGAAGAAATTTTTAAAAACATATGTTTTTCGTGTATCTTGAAAAGGTTTTCAGTTTACAAAACACTGTTGTTCCTTTTTTAACCTTGCAAACTTTTAAGTTACTTTTGTATATTTTTAATATTTAGTGTTAATTAAAACAAATATTACAATTTTTTGTTTTTTAATTTTTTTACTTTTTTTGTTTTTTTTTTTTTTTTTTTTTTATAACATAGGGCAAAGTCAAATCAAATCATGCGCTGGTATGAAACATTTATAAGCAAACATTCACCAAGCTTCGATCTTATCACATCATTGCCTTGCGTAACCTATTCTCTGGCTAATATGATTTTATTTAAAAAACT